TAATGGGATAACGGGGATGGGATAATGGGAATGTGGGATAATGGGAATGTGGGATAACGGGGTAACGGGATAACGGGAGTGCCAGCACCGCGACGCGCTCAGCGGCCACCTCCGGACACACTCCGGTACGGGAATAACGGGATAATGGGAATGTCGGGATAATGGGATAACGGGAATGGGATAACGGGATAACGGGATAACGGGATAACAGGATAACAGGGATGGGATAACAGGAATGTGGGATAACGGGATAACGGGATAACGGGAGTGCCGGCGCCACGACGCGCTCAGCGGCCACCTCCGGACACACTCCGGTACTGGAATGTCGGGATAATGGGAATATCGGGATAATGGGAATGTCGGGATAATGGGATAACGGGAATGTGGAATAACGGGATAATGGGATAACGGGATAACGGGAGTGCCGGCGTCGCGACGCGCTCAGCGGCCACCTCCGGACACACTCCGGTACTGGAATGTCGGGATAACGGGAATGTCGGGAATGTCGGGATAACAGGAATGGGAATAACGGGATAGTGGGAGTGGGATGTTGGGATAACGGGATAATGGGATAACGGGATAACGGGATAACGGGATAACGGGAGTGCCGGCGCCGTGACGCGCTCAGCGGCCACCTCCGGACACACTCCGGTACCGGAATGTCGGGATAATGGGAATGTCGGGATAATGGGAATGTCGGGATAATGGGATAATGGGGATGGGATAATGGGATAACGGGATAACGGGATAACGGGAGTGCCGGCACCGCGACGCACTCAGCGGCCACCTCCGGACACACTCCGGTACCGGAATGTCGGGATAATGGGAATGTCGGGATAATGGGATAACGGGGATGGGATAATGGGAATGTGGGATAATGGGAATGTGGGATAACGGGGTAACGGGATAACGGGATAACAGGAATGGGATAATGGGATAACGGGAGTGCCGGCGCCGCGACGCGCTCAGCGGCCACCTCCGGACACACTCCGGTACCGGAATAACGGGAATGTCGGGAAAAACATCGGGAATAACAGCGGGAATGTGGGATAACGGGAACGGGATAACGGGATAACGGGAGTGCCGGCGCCGCGACGCGCTCAGCGGCCACCTCCGGACACACTCCGGTACGGGAATAACGGGAATGTCGGGAAAAACATCGGGAATAACAGCGGGAATGTGGGATAACGGGATAATGGGTTAATGGGAATGGGATAACGGGATAAGGGGATGGGATCAGGAATGACGGGATGGGATCAGGGATAACAGCCCCAGGATGGGATCAGGAATAATGGGATTGGATCAGGGATAACGGGATGGGATCAGGGAATCCCATCCCATGGATCCCACTGATCCCTTCCCAGGGATCCCATTGATCCCATCAATCCCATCCCTCTGATCCCATCCCATCCATCCCATGGATCCCATCCTATCAATCCCATCCCATGGATCCCAGGGATCCCATTGATCCCATTGATCCCATCCCAGGGATCCCATTGATCCCATTGATCCCATCCCAGGGATCCCATTGATCCCATGGATCCCATCAATCCCATCCCACTGATCCCATCCCATTGATCCCACTGATCCCATCCCAGGGATCCCATTGATCCCATGGATCCCATCAATCCCATCCCACTGATCCCATTGATCCCACGGATCCCGCCAATCCCATCCCACGGATCCCATCCCGTGGATCCCATGGGTCCCATGGATCCCCCTGGATCCCATCCCATGGATCCCATGGATCCCATCCCATTGTTCCCACGGATCCCACGGATCCCCCTGGATCCCATCCCATGGATCCCCTGGAATGCGGCTCCCGGAGCTCCGTTCCCTCCCGGGCTCCTCCTCTCCATGGAGGGGAAAATTCCCAGATTTCCCAAAGGATCCCGATCCTGATCCCGATCCCAGCCTGGATCTGCCTCCTGCTCCAGGGATCTTCCCTCGCTGGGATCCTTCAGGAGATCCCAAAGTGCCCCAAATCCCGGGATTTGGGATCATTTGTGTCCCTCAGCAGATCCCAAAGT